GGAAATGTCTATTGCGATTACCTAATCGTTAAACCTTTCCAGAAGATCCACCAGGTGAATATCAAACAGCTCAAACAGATGATTTTTCATTTCATTGTGTAATGTGACAAGGCTGATACTAGGGATGGAACCTTTCTCCAGCCAAGGATTTATACCAGCAATACACCTCTTCTGCAGTGGGGCAAATAGACCTTGAGAAGCCCACTAGTTCTACAGCTCTGATGTTGCCTGAAATGAAGGGTAATTTAAATACCTAAAATGCTTCCACAGGTCATGGAACTGATGAACAGCAGCATCTTCAGCTTTGGAATCACTAACCAGACTGATGGACTATAATTAAAGTTGAAATTCAATTTCCATTATAAACTGTGCCTTAAATCCCCTTTTTCATTTGCTCATTACACACTCAAACTAAATTCCTTTGGAGTCTGAAATTTTCCAAGCTTGTTCTCTGCACAGAAGTAAAAAAAAAAAAATTTTTTTTTACCTATGCATCGACAAAATCCGGTTAGCAGCTCTTGAGTTCTGTGAACGTCTGTTGGCTTGGCTATACATTCCAATCAATCTAATCTCTGCACACATAGCTCAACAGTGTCGGACTGGATGATGCTCCCTGTCGCAGTGTTATGTACTGGGCCTGGATCCAGGCTAGCCTCTGCCTCAGTTTCTCCTTTAGTTCCAAGGCCAATTGCCTGTCCAAATTTCCCAACCTTCCCAGGAAGGCCTCACTTCCATGCCCAGAGTATTTCAGGCCCTTCTTCTAGGGCACCAGTTTATTAATTCAATCAAAGCTCACAATCAGTGCAGGCTGCTGGGACCCAGAGGTCTTTCATTCTACTCCCCTATCTTTCTGTTCCAGGGCTAGTCATAGGAGCCAACCTCTCTCCTGCAGCTCCCCCCTTTCCACTGAGGGCTCTCAGCCCTTTGTAAGGCTCACCTGACCCCCTCCCCAGCTGAGTCTGATAAACTGAACAGGGCTGGTTGGTCCTAGATTCCTGGCCCTTAAAGGGGCAGGCCACCCTGGTACACTCATATTAAAGTGAGGAAAATGTTTGCAGTGATTTCAAAGGCAACAATAGCTGTTCCCTGACCCCCTTCTGATTTCTGAGATGATCACAGTTTCTATGTTAGTTAAGGCATACGCAGCAGGTCTGGGTCTTGCAATCCTTACTCACACAAGTAGTTCCATTGAAATCAATGGATTACTTAAATGTGTGAAAGATGAAGGATTGGCCTCTGCCAATTTAACTCTCTCTATATAAATCTGACACCACCAATTACTGCTCCGTCAACCTTGACTCTTCTTCATCTTGCCCTCTCCCACCATCTCCTAATCTCCAATGCACACACTGTGCTGTCTTTTCCAATTTATTAAACCCTGTCAAAAAGAAAATGCTGAAGTTGCCTGTTACTTATCTTCTACCATGAGTTCTCACTGACTATGCCTAGATAATACACAGCAGCCCATCTGCTTCATTCCCTCTTTTCTAATTTGACTTATTGATGTTTACTTTATCATGATAGCAGACATAAATGCAAACATAAAAAGAGAATATGCTCCATTTCTAATATTAGCATAAATGAGATATCCAAAGAGCGGGCAGCTCAAGTGATATCATTACACTACATATATACACATGAAAGAGAGTCCAACTAATGAAATTATAGATTAACTTTCATATTTAAAAATAGGTAAGAGGAGGAAGCAGTGCCTTTGCATACATTTTAAATGAGAAGTTCACAGAATCTGTAGAAGGTCTATGTGTCTAACTTTACTTCTCCCCAATCCAAAGACTTTCTATAAGTGGAACACCTATTTACTACAGAAGGAATGCTATGCATAGATGGCTTTGCAGGATACATTTATTTAGTAAAGACAATAATGATTCTGATCCCATTGTGTATATCTGAATTGCTGAAATATCCCTTGTTACTGTTTTAACTGTGTTTACATAACAAAAATAACTAAAATAATAATAATAATTATTACATAGTAAAAGAAATAATAATAGATCTTTAGGTTTGTATATCACCTTTCATCCTAAAATGCTTTACAAATTTCACAATATATACAATACAACAGGAATTTATACTGGATGAATGGATGGCTGAAAATGGACAAGTTTATCCAAACCTCTTAAAATTTTGGTTATTTTGATAAATGGGACATAGAACCAAATCATGCCTGAGCTAATGTATCACAAGGAGACAGAAATGCGATACAGCCACTACCTATATCAGATTCTTCTCTGCCTTTCTCTGCACTGTGGAATTCTCCAGTCTAATGGAGCTATGCCACCACAAAGCTCCAGAGCTGGTATGGAGATACAGAATTGTGTGTCTATTGCCATGTATCTCCAAAGGATCTGCAAGGTTTAGAAGACACAATCCTTGCCGTGACTTCAATGCAGACAAACCCATCTCTCAAAAGAATTTGGAATAATAATAATAATAATAATAATAGAGGAGAACCCCATAAATTTTTCCACAGCTCCAAGCCCCTTCATGAAGCAGCATGATCTGGCTCTTATACAGCTAGTTTATATGAATGGAACACACGATGGTGTGGTATTCATCAGCGTACATTTCAGGTTCTATCAGCATGCGTTTCAGATAGTCACATTACAAACAGGTGGCGAAGTCACTTTTGAGTTATGTAGGTGGCAAGTGCCAGTAAGACTTTTACAGCACAGCACACCATCATGTATTGTAGGGCTGTCACATATGATAGACAAAAATACTCATAGCAATGTTTGAGAGAGTTTTTTCAAATGTGTTGAGGACTGTTTTTTTCATAATGCGTTGACTGTGAAACTATGGCCTCAATTATCCTGTTTGCTTGTGCTCTGGTCTGATTGCTTTAAATGGACTTTGCACACGTATAACAGACAGCATGCTCTGGCCCCCAGTATCTTCGTCCAGATGTTCAGGTCTCAGAAATATAACTAATGCATTAAAAATACTTCTAAAAAGTACTTAATATCTCACCAATTTAAACCTAGCATTCAGAGCCATTCCTAGGCTAGGAGTGAATGCCAAGTCCCCGCCATAGGGAAGTTGGGAAGCTCCCATTTCAAGACTTAGAGTTTCGTCAGATATCTGTCCTTAAATCTGTCCTTGACCAAGAACTGAATTTGCCCATTCTGCAACTTGGGCAATTAGAATTCTGGGAGCGGGGGCAGGAGGGAGTGCTGCAAAATTCACCTTTGGACTGCAGAGGAAACATTTATTTGGCAAGCTGATTTAAAAAGTAGATAAACATGGCAACTGTGCAGAAACTACTCAATAGTGACTGGAATGTTAGTCTAAGTCCTAAGAGAGATGGATCAGTGAGCAGAGCGGAGGTGAAACTATCAAAGTTACATGCTAATTCATTTATCACATGGCTCTGTAAGATAACACATGGATATTGCCTCCAAATATGTGGGATAGATAAAGACTGAGAAGCAGACTAAGGGTATGTGTACACTTACCTGCTGGTTCGGCGGCAAGCAATCGATCTTCTGGGATTGATTTATCGCGTCTTGTCTGGACGCGATAAATCGAACCCAGAAGTACTCACCGTCGACTCCGGTAATCCTGCTCGGCGAGAGGAGTATGCGGAGTCGACGGGGGAGCCTGCCTGCCGTGTGTGGACCGCGGTAAGTTCGAACTAAGGTACGTCGACTTCAGCTACGTTATTCACGTAGCTGAAGTTGCGTACCTTAGTTCGAATTGGGGGGTTAGTGTAGACCAGGCCTAAGACAGAAAGATACTACATTGTAAGGCACTATAGGCTCTTCATAACATTTCTTTAAAATCAGTACTGAAATGTTCCTGAGGACTACAAATGCATACAAATTATGCCTTTCAAAAATTATATAACTTCAAGGCATTTTAATTTTTTGATCACTCTACATAAAACTATAGCACAAAATGTTTTACTGCCTGTTTTCAAATTAAAGGCTAGACTGTACCTTGATTTATGTACCTCTGCTGGGGACTAAGGGGCTCTGGGGTCCCTCTCCTGTCAATGGCACAGCCAGTGCAAGGGGTAGGGGTAGGGGCAGGGGCAGTAATTAGCTACTGGTAAGAACTAATAGCCAATTACTATCCCCCCTCAGAACAGGGCTCCTGGAGTCTCACTCCCACGGGGCTTGTGGGAGAGCCATAATCTAGTCCAAAGGCACTAGCATTACATAACTCTGTGGCAGTGTGTATTTATATGTAGCATGACTATGTGTCTGTGTGTTCACATATATATTGTCTTTGAAATATTAGATACATGGTAGTGAAGAAACCACACAACAACGTCTCCCCCCGCTCCCTCCCCAATGTCAGTATATGAAATACATTTCCAGCTCTTGCTTAGTAACTAGCAGGTCATTCAGAACTCTCTCACATTCACACTTTGTCTTTTGGTAAAAAGGCAATCAGTTCAGAGCTCTGAAGCATAACCAAAACTTCTCCGAGAGGCAAAATGAATTTCACATTACAGCTCTGATGAAAGGCAAAATAAAAGTTTCAAAATGACATACAGAAAGGCAAAAATCAGAGTGAACAATTGATTTGTGAATATGAACACACACAACGGATATACATCAAAGTCTGTTTGGAATTTACATACAAGTGGGTGAACTGAGAGTCGTTTTAATATTGAACAAGCAGGAATTAGATTCCCTGCTTACTGGTTCAATGTACATTGCTATGGAAAATAGTAATAGAGGTAGTTCATGAGTTCCCCTTTTCTCTCCCCCCTCACTGCGCGGCGCATGTGCACACACACACAAACTCATTTTTTCTCATCAAACTGATTAAATGGAGTAGAAAAGCAGTGCCTAGAATGCACTGTGTAAAAACAAGACTCTCTCATGGCACAAGTGAACCACTGTAAAGGTTTACATGAGCATAGTTCCAGCAGAAACTGCCACTCCCTTAATAACACAAATCACAAACATGGCAGGGATGATACTGTTTCCCATTGGGCACTGAAGCCTGAGAACAATGACTGAGATACTTACGTGATGGTGTCAATCATATCCAGTCCCATTTCGACACAGCAGTGGGCATGGTCCGTTTTGGGCTGTGTCAATCCTGATACACAATAGTAACAGTCCCCTAGAATTTTAATTCTTCTGCAGTGGTTTTCCTTTAATAAAAACAGACAGGAATAATAGATTATAAAAAAATATTTACAATAGAAACCACATAGTTCTGCATAACAAACTTTTTTCATATAAAGTTTATTTGGTCATAGTAAACAATCTACAATGCAGAAGCCATGAGGTCCCAATGCTGAACTGTCACCTTCTGTATATCAAATAGGGTAATCAGTCCAGATTTGTTCAATTGGGCAGTATTATAATTCCAGATTACAAAGCAACATTGTGACAGTATGTTTTCCAATACAGAAGCCTCAAATCAAAACACCGTATCTTAACAGTCACAAACAGTGTATAAGTTTGGATCCAAACTTTGCATCTGGACTGCATGTCTATAATAGTTCAAACCAAAAGGCTGGAACCGAACTACCTCTGAACATTGGGGAAATTTGGATTCAGATGAATTTGTGACTCAAACCCATCTGTAATTTACAAGGCAGGTGTTTTTGTTGTTGTTGTTGCTATGGTGGTGGTATTTTGTTTCTTTCTTCCTTTTTTTTTTTTTTTTTAAGAAGATGCTCATTGGTCTGTATTACCAATACATAAATCTGATAGGGCAAACTCATTCTCAATTTAAATGTGTGAACATGACATATGGGTAGAACAGAAGATGCAGTCATGCACTGTTACTGAATTTGTCTCATATTTACATGGGCTGGCAAGTTTTTCAGTAGCAAGCGTATGACTAAATCTCCCATGATTTGAAGAAGAAATGATGGGAGGTGGTGACAGCTATATTATTTTCAGCAGCACCTTCACCACTTGCAAACTAGAACACTGCTTAGTAATAATGCAGCATCATAGGGGTTGAGTTGCTTGCCAGATCTCTGTCCAAAGCCCTGACATAGAAGGTGTTTCCAGTGATCCAATGCACAGCTGCCAGCTAGGACCTCACACATAGAACTATACTGAAATTGTTACTCATTTGTTTGGGACAGTGACTATGTTGAATGGTGAAAGGTAACAACAAATTGGAGATCAGGAAATTCAATTAATGTAGTTGGTACATGATATGAAATATTACTATATAGTCCTGACCAACAACCCAGGACAATGTAGGTAGGGACTGTTTACCTGAAACCCCTGGTCAGGATCTGGCAATAACACAGTTAAACAAGAAAAGACGGTGATGGTATCCATTGCAACAAGGACTGCACAAAACCCCTGGTGAGAGCAGTGACACAGAGTACCTAAATAAACCAGATTAAAGGCTCCCACTTTTATGGCTGGGACTATGAAGGCACGTGCCTCATGGGAACAGGGAATCAGGGAACAAAAACAATAACACATGTCTCACCCCATCACCACATATACTTGCATCAACAAATAGCAAACGATTTGGTAAAAACTTTAAGATTAAGAGCTGTTTACTGTGTTTTCATAAAATATACAAGTATTTCTGCCTAGTAAACAAGTCTGTATGTATACACACACACACACACATATATATATAAATTATATATAAAATAAACATCTGTCCTTGAACAGAAAGGAGGGCAAAATCTGTAAAATGAATGGTGAATAGTTTGCCCAACTCCTTTTATACAGCAAATAAGAGAGTAGGCCATTCTTTCCAGGTATGTTCTAACAAGCAGCATAGATATTTTAGTAGGTCAGCTAACTGTTTAATATGCCTTAGCGCATGATTTGGACTGTATTAGTCTTTATCTTTGTCCATATATATTTTTTATTAATTTCATCATCGTTATTTGGAAAAGTCAAAATAGCTTTATGATGCAAAATAACTTCTGTTAAAGAATACGTGTATTTGGCAGTTATTCTTCAAAATTATGCTTTATTGCCTAGGAACCCAATATTGCAAACACATATGAATGTGCTTAAGTTTAACCACTACAACTGGGGCCTTAGTTAGGGCCATTCCTGCAGCCCATACTCAGGAATATTCTTATAGATTTTATTGCAAGTTTTAAGTAAGTAAGGACTGCAGATCAAGCCCTAAGTATTTTAAGATCCTTGACTGAATGACAGTATTAATGGAAGGAATGATTACTACAAACAACATACCTATGAATATACAATCCAGGAAGTCCAGCCTGACATGAAACACCTTTTCTTACTCCATGTACTAACTTTTGAACAGGAACTGCTAAATTATGCTGACAAATTAAGCATTTTTAATGGAGCAAATTATGGAGCAGTGGTAGCTGCTCCAGAGTAAAGACTGAAACCCGCTTTTTGGCCTACCCTACATAAAGTTTTTTTCAGCTTCAAATTTGGTATGTGTGGTCTGTGACCAGCAGATGACTGCTTGACCTAATCAGAATTTAGTTGAACAAAGCCACTTAGAAATATGGATGCAGAAAATTAATTGTGCCACATTGCTTCTTCAATGCCTACTTACAAAATGGCTTGAATGAAAGACTTAGTTTTATTAGAGAGAGCTTGGTGTACAGTACTGCATAAACCACCTGTGAGATGATGTCAAGGGAACGTACTAAGTTATCAGGATCATCACAGCAGCAAATCAGAATCCAGCAGATTTAAGGATTGTTGGCTACTCCAAGGTGTAAGATAAGACAGAGTTTTTATTATAACTATGTGTATTACCATAGCGCCTGGGAACCCCTTGTACTAAGCATTCTACAAACACAGAACAGAGGATGTTCCCTGCTCCAAAGAGTTTACAATTTAAGTACAAGACAAGAGAAAACAGATGGATAAAGACAGACAGACCAGGAAGAACAATGAGACAATATTGGTCAGCACAACAGCCAGCAGTCCCAGCACATCAGCAACCTAACTGTTGTCAAGATTTTTGTAAGCATCATGGGAAGGAGAGTTTTAAGGAGAGTTTTTTTTATTATTATTATTTTCTATCTCTGTAATTTTTTTAATTCTATTTTTGTTCCTTTCCCTTCCCCAGCCTGGACATAAAATAAGGGAGAAATCAGCTGCATTCCCTTCAAAAAATACTGTATGGTCGATAACTACTCTTCCTACATCAGCTATAACTCAGACAGAGAAAACCACCCCATTGCAAAATTTTCTTTAGGATTGGTTGCGATTTAACCACGTCTTTCATCAAATTTAATGAAACACACATGGTGGTTGAGGTAATATCTTTTATTGAACCAGCTTCTGTTAGTGGAAGGGACAAGCTTGTGAACTCCACCATCATTCCTTTAGCCCCCCCTCCCCTCCCAAAAAAACAAAAACAAAAAACAAAACAAACACACTTATGGAGGACCTTGGCCTAAATCATCTGCACCGCTTTGAAAAATCCCACTATATTCTTTATCAGCTCTTTTCCTCACTCATATCTATTTATAGCACCTGACTAATGCACAGTGATCTGTAGGAGCTTGTTTGATTTTCTTCTTGCTGCTCTCTCTCTCTCTCTCCCTGTATGAGGTTGATTTCCAGTGCTAATAGTGAATCTATATGTGAACAATCCCTTTAACTTGATATGCAAGTTAACAAAAGAAACCCTTTCTTTTTCTCAATTTTGTTTTATTGAAACTCCCAGAAACCACCTGAGTCAACACAATTCCACAACAGTGATAGTTATAAATTCAAGTCAACATTGATTCAGGCAGCTCCTGTAATAGTTGATCATTTTGGCCTCATGAGCGTAATAGAAGGCACCAGGGTCTGCCAGCATTTCCAGCCCACTGCACCCGCCAACCAGGTCGTCCACCTGCAGGGTTTAATCAAAATACTTCCAAAATGAGCTGCAGAGAGTTCCCTCCAGACAAGAGAGCAATTTGTTGGTATCAGGTGGATGCCTAAATCTACAACTTCACAGATGGCAGACTCTTTCAAGTTGCTAAGTAACCTTTAAATTTTCAACTGAAGTGTCTTATAAACCCGTTGGTCTCCTCTGAGTGGGACAAGGGGAGCTTTCTTAATTCAGAAAGGGTTCTGCTGTTTTTACATCTCTTCAAATTTTCTTGCAAAAGTCCTGTTTGCCACCTCGGGATACGGAATACAAAACTGGAATCTCAGACACATTAGATGAAGCCCCTTGTACCGCTCAACCCAAATTATGTTTCAAGCTCAGCGGTTAAAGATTTTTAAACAAAATAAAGGGAACAGAATTCACAGAGGAAGAAAGGACCACATAAAAAGGTATTAAAGTTTTGACCTTGAAGGAACTCTTAATAAATGCTTGAGTCCCCCTGAAGCCAATGCTTTGCTGGCTCAGCACTTAGGACTATAACTGAGAGACCTTCTCAACTGCCAAATTCTAACAAGCTCTAGAATTGCTTTTTGTTTGTCTGGTGCCAGCAGAGGAGATAGACAGATGCTGATGGGCATACAGCTGTCTGCTCTGCAGGCTTTATTGTTCTGGCTACAAAACTGAAACTAACTAACATGAAAGTGAGGCTTTGCACTAGGGACGGGGGAGACCATAGAGCTCCCTGAACATTTAAAGGGACAAGGCATCATATTGTTGATCAATGCAACTCCCTTTTTGTACAGGACTGATAAAGAAATTTGTTGTTACATGAACAGATCTAGGTCAACACTTTAAAAATATTGGACATGTCTACACTCGAGACATCTTGCTTGAGCTAGTGCATTGAAAATAGAAGTATAGCTGCAGCAACATGGGAAGCGGGAAGGGGTAGCCACCCCAAGTGCAATCCTGCCCAGGACCCTGGGTACATAATCAGGCAGCTAGTCCATACTAATGCCCACACTGCCATGACTACACTTCTAGTTTAGTACAGGTATGTCTGCCCAAGCTGGAAATTACACCTTCAGCTCAAGTATAAATGTAATCACTGATGCTTTTAGTTTATTGTTACAGATATTAGAAAGTTACCAATGCAGAGATCAGATGCTTCTCTATTTAGAACACAGTGGAAGCTCTAGGGTTGCAACTATCTATCAGGGCTACAACATAGTTTCTGCGCACCAAACCCTCCTCCTCCCCCCAAAAAGAGCAAAAAATGAAGACTAGTTAAATTTAATTAAGACGAACAAACTCTTAAAATCTAAATGTCAAATGTAGCCCTAAGGT